TGTTTCGGAAAATAAAGAAAAATAATTAAAATAAATTAATTAAATAAAATGACGAAAGAAAACAAGAAAAGAGATGGAGCAGAATTTGTCAAAGCTCGTGCTACGCACGATGTCCTTAAAACGTATTTGTTGCCTCCCACGGTGCTAGGAGCGTTGCAACAATAGTTTCCCAGGATACGATGACAACGAACTAATGTTTGAGCACACAAACAAGAGTTCCAGCGAACGAGAACAAAGACTGAACACAGAAGGAATTTTCCGAATGCTGGAGGGTGTTTTTGAGGTGCAAAACGTGAATGGAGTGTCTAAATTCGTGTGTTGTTGCAAACCACCTGCCAACCATTATATAGGGGGATTTGTTGTATGAAAATAGTGAATTAATGGACCTGAACGTTGGACATCAATGACCAGTCCGTTGGGCATTGAATTGTCCATTTAACACTGCATTAAAAGATATAAACGTTGGGCATTTATTGCTGCAACGGTTCAGAAGCCATCAGAAGACCCCTACGTAGTTCTGCCCGAAGGCCATCAGAACTAGAGCAGTTCTGATGCGCGGTCATTAGAACAGAACCGGAGCATCTCTGCCCGAAGGCCATCAGAACTGGAGCAGTTCTGATGCGCGGTCATCAGAACCGGAGCACCTCTGGTCGTGGCCTTCTGCCCGGAGCAATTCTGTCAACTTGGGAAAATTATACGTTTCGGGAAGAAAACAAAAATTAATCGTATCTCTTGAGAGATAGATTTTTGGACGACATTCGTGTCGCAGGTCGCCCGCGCACGCAAGTCGCGGTTTTTCTTCTCCGAATTCGGGATTTGATTTGCACCCCCCCCCCCCCCCCCCCCCCCCGCGTGGAGAGAGCCTTTACCCTTAAGAATCTTAACTCCATAAGGGGGGAGTCCCTTTATAAAGGGTAGCAAATCCCTTGGGTTTTCCGGTGTGGGAAATTAACACACTAGAAACCCATCCTTTTTCCCTTCTAACGGGTAAACTTCGAAAAGCGATTTCTCATTCACCCGTTATCCGTTTTGAGCGTACCATATATCGAATTGTAGCCCTTAACAAGGAAAATCCGAAACCACTTTGACCCGACCCTAATCGGAAGTGGACCCCACTCAAAAAATTGCCCCAAAATAGCCATTTAATGCAATTTTTCACACATTTTTTCAACAAGTAAAGCTGAAAAATTTGATGTGCATATTAATGGGGAGAAGATAAACATGGAAAAGAGAGAGGCGGCATTTATTCGTTGGTTGAGCGGCATGTTTATAAAGCCACGTGGTAGTAGAATATGAAAGGAGAGAAACATGCTGAGGAAGCCACATAAGTTTATTTGAGGTTAGAATGGTATTTTATTGAGCTATTTCTTTTCTTATACTCCCTCCGTCCCCGAAAGAAGTTCCCACTTACTATTCATTGGTCAACTTGAATCACTCCTAATCCTTTACTTTATATATTGATTTTTTTTATCAAACTTAAATTTTCTTGATCAGGCTATGTATCAGTTTTAATGTAGTTTCTTAATATGTAAATTTTATTTACTAAAAATAATTTGAGTGTGAACAGGGATCGAGTTGCTTTATCGTCAGTCAAGCATCATAAACCGAACAGAAACTTCTTTCGGGGACGGAGGGAGTATATAAATAGGTTTTTCTCTTACCGTGGAATTGTTAAGGACATAAATATTTTAGTACAATGGAGGAATGGAATATATTATAGTAAAAAGGGGAAAATGGAAACTAATAATCCAACCTTTTAGCGGTCTTCTTTCAATAATCCCACCTTTTGATTATTCATGAATAATCCAACCTTTGCACCTCATCTTCATTCATTGGTCCCTGGTCGGTTAATGACCTACTATTCCAAGTTATTTTCTTATCTTTCTAAAATATTATCTTTGTGAAAGATGAGATTTATGGTATAATGATTTGTAAAGATAAGAAAATAGTTTGGAATAGCAGGTCATCAACCGGTTAGGGACCAGTCTATGAAGCACGGATACTTCGCTAGGGTAGCGTATCGGCGTATCCGATACGTTCCCGTATCCGATACTCTAGGATACCCGTACCGTACGTTCCCGGGCCGTATCTGCAATTTTTAAAAGTTTCCATTTTTTTTTGTAATTTTTTGAAAGTTTCCGATACCCGTATCCTGACGGATACCCGTATCAACTTTTTTTAAAAAAAATCCCAAAATTTACTTAATAAAATTCTAAACAAAAATGAAAATCTAAAACTACATTTTACTTGGTAATCAAATAATGGGCCTATATGGCTATATCCGAATTAAGTCATTAACTCATACTCCGAATTGGATACTTGCACTTTTAATTTCAAGATTGTAGTTGTTTGACTTATTTCTCATTTTAAATTAATGACTTATTGACTATATTTATATTTCGAGATGACTAGTGTATATGAAAAATATTATGAATTTATTACCAAGTATCTTGAAAAAGGAAATTGTTTCAATGCAATGAATGGGTAGACATCATAGGATATTATGTGTGTGTGTGTGTGTATATAGACCCCCTATAACTTTTAATATTTGTAAATACACCCCCATAACTTTTAATATTTATAAATATTATATATATATATATATATATATATATATATATATTTTCAAAAAAAATCTAATTTTAATATTTATAAATAGACCCCTATGACTTTTAATATTTGTAAATACACCCCCATAACTTTTAATATTTATAAATATGGCCCCGTATCCGTATCCTACTTTTTTTGGTTTTGACGTATCCCCGTACCCGTTTCCGCGTTTCCGCGTACCGGTATCGGTGCTACATAGGGACCAGTGAATGAAGATGAGGTGCAAATGTTGGATTATTCATGAATAATCAAAAGGTGGGATTATTGAAAGAAGACCGCTAAAAGGTTGGATTATTAGTTTCCATTTTCCCTATATTATATACATACGTGTAAAAGGCAAAACTCTATAAATATGCGTATAATAACTACGTACTACGTATTACTTACTACGTACTACCTCCGTTCTTAAATAAGTGCAACATGTAAAATTTTACACTATTAACATGTTCTACTTTGACTATATATTATTGATTGATGTATTAGTATCTTTTTTTGAAAAATATATTATTAAATTAGTCTAATTGTAAATTTTGAAAAACTGATTTTTTTAAATTTTTTACTAATAGCAAATTATAAATATTAATGGTCAAAGTTATGTCTTGATAAGTGTGAAATGTTGACTGTTGCACTTGAGAATTGGTGCTAAACAGGACAAAAAAACTCAATGTATCTAAATAGGACCTCAATGATTTTTATACTTAAATAGGACTAAATTTTCTCTTGCTCCCTAAATTACCCCTTCCTCTGGACTATGATCGATGAGAGCCACCAGGTGTCCTTTGCACGGAGAATTGATCTTCTCCGACCCGCCCTAGGTTGTCACCTAGCCACAAATAGGATCTCGAGTACACGCCTATTGGCAAATATGAGGATTGAGAAATCTGAATTGCTGTTGCGGATGGATGGCTCTGATCTCGAATCCGTGCCTGGGGATGAAACCAGACAACAATCCGCCCCTCTTTTTCAAAATTTTCCCGATGGTGATGCTTCCGTTTTCTTTTCCCTGCTTCCGGTCCCTGCGGCTGCACAATTCTATCGAGAGCGACTAAATCAAGGTTTTAAATATCCGTAGCGGCAGCGGTAGCGGCCTGTAGCGGCCTGTAGCCGACTGTAGCGGTTGCAACGGCGTGAAATATTTTCAATTGCGCAAAACATATATATAATGAGTGGTGAAGTTAATACAAACACTGTGAATATTTGTTTGAATACTTATAACATTAAGAGTTCATTTACACAACATAGACACATTTACACATCAACTCGTTCGTGACGTACTGCCGGAAATGTCAATAGCGAGCTGTAGCGGGCAATAGCGGGCGGCGTAGCGGGTTTTTCCTGTGATTTGGAATTCACAGCGGAATAGCGGGCCGTAAGAGCATCTCCAACCCATAAGGTCCATTGTAGCTGATATGGCAACATTTTGGACAAGGTGCATTTACCATGTGAGTCAAAAATACTAAATGGAGAGAGTTCATTTGGAGATCTCTCCAATGCAACAACAAAAAGCTCAAAAAAATAAAATAGCAAAAGAAAATAAAATTAAATAATTGGATGTCCTTGCTCATAGGCCCACTCTTTTCTCTCTTCATGTGTCAGAAGGTGGAGACCGAGGTCTCAAAATAGACATTCGGTGAGACCGAGCTCCATTTTTTGATTTGCCACATAAGCTTCATTGGGTCTATTTTTTTTACCATTGGAGAGAGCATTTGTGATGGGAAAGAGCACTTGGTGATGTGGAAGTGCAATGAACATCTCCATTGGAGATGCTCTAACGGTAGCGGCCCCTACTGCGACCGCTATATAGTGGCCGCTATAGCGGTAGCGGGCCGCTATTTAAAACCCTGGACTAAATCTAACCCGGATTTGGGGGTCCTGGGTTTGTGGGCGGAAAAGCTTCGAGCTTCTGGAAGCTGAGTTTTGGGGTAAAACCAAAGCCTTCAGAATAAAAATGCAGAATTGTCCATCGTCTGATATAGAAGCTCACGCAATCCTAAGAAAGAAGCTGAATAATTGCTCCTCTGTTTTGGCCTTTACTTGCTGTATGCATTTTAGCATTGTCCGTGGGGCTCCCAAAAGGCCAAAATATTATGCTAAATGAAAGACAATATTTTGTATTAACAATTTAACATTGTGTTTCATACTTTCTCTGTTCTTTTTTAATCGCAACAATCAACATTTCACGTTTCTCAATACACAAGTTTGACCATTAATATTTTCCATTCCTTATTAGTAAAAAAAATTAAAAAATTTATATTTTGAAAATTTAGAATAAGAAGAATTTAACAATATTTTTTTAAAATTTAATTTATAATACATTAAGAACGTGGAAAGTACTATATAAGTCATTTTTAAAAATAAAATATACATAGTACTAGTATTTAATTTACATCTGTTTTGAACTCTGTCCCTAATTTACATATATTTTGAACTATTTCTTTAAAAAGTAACAATGTGAGTACGTACATAAAAGAAAATGAAAAGGAAAAAAAACAAAGTGTCATCACAAGCTATATATAAGCTAGAGCAGCACTTAAGAAGAAGAAGAAGACATGATATCGAAAAGACAATATGGCTGCAGCCGATTTTACAACAGAGTCGCGGGCAGGGATGGGACTGGAATTTGCAGCCACCGGCGTGGCAATATTAGGAACTGGGCAGAAGGTAATAAGATAGTTGTTGTTAGGCCCTGAAGGGCAAGTGAATGTACTGGTTTTATCATCATAGGCATAGCTATAAGCTTGAGGGCACATCGCCTTGAAATATGAAGCGTATCCCGACGCCTGGCAGGTCGCCGCCGTCGCATAAGCCCCCGAGCAACAGAACTGCGGTTGATTGAATGCCACGCACGCGCTCTTGCAGCCCACCGTCGCGCCGGAGGCGTCCTTCAATGCCAACTCCGGCTGGCAACCTGCGTTCACGTTTCCCGGGCAGGCAACCGGCGTGCATGTGGCGGAGGCGGCGACACCCACCGGCTCCACGGTGACCGGGAGGTTGAACCCGTCGACGAGACTGATGTCGAAAAAGTCTTGCCCGTTGTACCCGTCGAATGTGAACTCGACTAGACTGGCCGGAGGGATGGCGCCGGCTCCGTTGCAGGTGACTGCGCCGGAGGCGCAGTCGGCGGTTTGGCAAGCGAATGAGCCCGTGGGACCGGTGGCGCATGAGGTCCTGGCCCAGAAGCGACCAGACCAATGGGGAGGAATCTGAATAGGTGCCGACGATGCACCTACTGCTAATTCAAAACCGGTATTGGGTAACGGTGGAATGCCGGCGCCGGTTAGGGTCCCGGGCCATATGGTGTAGGGGCAATTGTTTTTTATTGTGACCATTGCAGGTTGAACGCCTGAAATCATATACATATAGTACGTACGGAGTAAATATTTACATAACCAAACTAAAATCCAAGGATAATAATGAAAACAACAACAACACTATAATAATAGTACTATGGGTATGTTTGAATCTGATTCTCAGGGAGCAGAAGCAGAAGTTGGAGTGTTTGGGTGAAATTGCAGAAACACTTCTGGAGCTCTAATTTACTTTTAGAATAAGTTTTTTTAGAAGCTCGGGGGTACCAGCTTCTGAAAACTGATTCTGATTCTGCTTCTGCTTTTAAAAAAGAAGCAGAAGCAGAATCAGTTCCAAACACCGCTATTTTTGATTTTTACTAATTAGTGTAGTACTTCGTACTAATTATAAAAGCAAAAGTGGTTGCGATTAGTGATTAGAGGGTAAGTTATTTATAGTAACTTATAATTGATTTTTACACTAAAGTGACTATCAGATTATACTGTAGTCTATGAAGCACGGATACTTCGCTAGGGTAGCGTATCGGCGTATCCGATATGTTCCAGTATCCGATACTCTAGGATACCCGTACCGTACTTTCCCGGGCCATATCTGCAATTTTTAAAAGTTTCCATTTTTTTTTGTAATTTTTTGAAAGTTTCCGATACTCGTATCCTGACGGATACCCGTATCAACTTTTATAAAAAAAATCCCAAAATTTACTTAATAAAATTCTAAACAAAAATGAAAATCTAAAACTACATTTTACTTGGTAATCAAATAATGGGCCTATATGGCTATATCCGAATTAAGTCAAAACTCATACTCCGAATTGGATACTTGCACTTTTAATTTCAAGATTGTAGTTGTTTGACTTATTTCTCATTTTAAATTAATGACTTATTGACTATATTTATATTTCGAGATGACTAGTGTATATGAGAAATATTATGAATTTATTACTAAATATCTTGAAAAATGAAAATGCTTCAATGCAATGAATGGGTAGACCCCTATAACTATATATATATATATATATTCAAAAAAAATCTATTTTTAATATTTATAAATAGACCCCTATAACTTTTAATATTTGTAAATACACCCCCATAACTTTTAATATTTATAAATATGGCCCCGTATCCGTATCCTACTTTTTTTGGTTTTGACGTATCCCCGTACCCGTTTCCGCGTTTCCGCGTTTCCGCGTACCGGTATCGGTGCTACATAGACTGTAGTAACTAATAGTCGCATTTTTGTAAATAAATATCATTTTAGTAATAATTTTGTTTTTAAAAAACTCATAGTAATAATAACAAGAAGAAAAGGAGCACCATATTTAATATAAGGTTATTTCTAGTCCCATAACTTAGAGTATGTTTGTGCATATTATTATTGATTACATAATGCTACTTAATTGGAGATATAATCATGTCCTATGATGAATAGATTATCAAGGATTTCAGCCCAACTGGTTGTGAGGTTACTGTGCCTAGTAGGAGTAGGGATGGACCGGTTCCGGTCGGCCCGGGAACCGGCCTGACCCGCCACTTTGTGGGCCCGGACCCGCCCAATGAACTGAGCCCGATTCCAGGCTCGGACCGGGGGGTTGGGGGCGGGGGGCGGTTCCAGGCTACACTTCCTTTGGTGTCGGGCCCGGTTCGGGCATTTTTTTCAATTTTTTTTGTTTTCCCGGGTTGAGCTAGGTGTTTTAGGGGAGTTTGGAGGTGGGGGGGGGGCTTCCCCCCAAAATAATAGGACCAGTTTGGACCGGCCCGGAATCGGTCCATCCTTAAGTGGGAGGTCTCGAGTTCGAAACTCGCGAGACACATTAGGTTTCAAAACTCAATGAAGTGAGTTTCAACCTTAATTTATCATTAATAAATTTTCTGCCTGGATGTATCACTTTTCGGCATATCATAAAATCGCAGGTAGATAAAAGGTTGTTTGGTGACATTATTGTCCAAAATATTACGTAGTAGAATATTAGATCTTAGTACGTAGAAAGATTTTTAATGTAAACAAATTTGTTAGTTATGTGATATTCGATGCAATTAATTAAGGCGAGTTACACTAAACTAATTTTCTTTAAAACTTAAAAAAAATATAAATAATAATGAGCGAGAATAATTTTTTTGAAAGTAAAAATAAATAATAATGACCGGAAATAATGGATAAATTTGATGATTGTAGTTGCCATTATTGTTGCTAAATTCAAGGGTACCGTCAAAGAATCATACATTTATTCATGTGGACTAATCAATTAATTAATGTTTATATAAGTGCATAAGTCTATAAGTATGTATTTTATAAGTCTATAATTAAAAATTACAAGATTCAATTTGTTGCATTATGAACGCCCTTTTCAGAAAAATATGTTATACGTACTTAGGAAAAGTTCTCGGAATGAGCGTAACAATGTTTGAAAACTTCAAAATGGAACTGCTATATTTTTATTCTCAAAATAGGGGTAATTACTGTTAAATTTGGAAAATATTGTCATGTTTACTGTCTCATACGACTCTGTAGCTACTACGTGAATATGCATACGTAGCATTTTTAGGCCGGGTTGGTTTGCAACTGCTTTAAAAAAACACTTCTCAGCTTTTGACTTTTAAAAAGTACTTATTTTCCCAAACACTACAACTTTTATTTTTGTCGGCTTCCGCTTCAAAAGTGCTTTTACTTTTTCTATTACACAAAACGCACTTATTTTACCAAACACTACCCACTTTTACTTTTCAAAATCACTTTTTTCTCAAACACTATCAACTTTTATTTAATCACTTCTCCCCATTTCATTTAAAAAGCATTTTTTTAAAAGCAGAAGCTGTTGCAAACAGACCCTTAATCATCTCATTACGTTAGAAAAAAGCATATATTTTTTAAGATTAGTGATTACTTTTTGTGGAACTAGTACATTTTATTAGTAGGTTTGATTAACTTTTGAAAGGTCATCTTAACCGGGCGGAGCCATGGCACTGACTCGAACTAAACCGGTACAAAGAATATTTTTGGGGAAAAAATTACACAAAGTTTTTCACACTAAAAATACAAACATTTATTAAATTTGGTCTGGGTCGGGAACAGGGTTGGCCCCCTAGCTACGTCCTTGCATATTACTCCTACTATCTCATTTTAATTGTTTTACTTTTTTTTTTGTTTTCCAAAACAAGTGTCACGTTTCTTCTGTTGGAAAGATATATATGATCTACAACATTTCATCTTATCTCAGATCTCAATCATAGTTTTTACTTTTTCAATCATTTTATTAATAATTGTGTCGAACCTAAGTGAACACATAAAATGGACAGAAGTAAATATCATATATGAATATGTTTGAATAATACTTCATTATGAGCCTGTTTAATAGCATGAAAATCGGCTGTTTTGGTTTATTCTGCTGAAGTAGATGAAGTTCTGGTTGAAGTGGCTGCATTGGTTGATTCTGCTGATTTAAGAAAAAATTATTTTTAAAATATTTTTATTAATAAAATAATGAAAAAATTATATGTATAATAGCTAAAATTGTCATCTACAGTAACTTCAGCCAAAAAATCCAGAAAAGTAACTTCAACATTACTTTTTATGCTTATTACAGAATTCAGAGCGCGAAAGCAAAATTTACGTATTTGGTGAAAAGTTAGCTGATAAGCGTGAGAAGTCGAAAAGAATGTTGCCAAACGACCTCTATATATTTTGTAAGCATAAAAAATAATCGATCTGCATGAGTCATGTACGAGTCATGCTCATGATCAAGTGATATACTTATTTGGTGTTGGAATACTCATTCAGACTAGGCATGGACCGGGACCGGTTCGACCAGCCCAACGCCAGGCCCGAACCGGTACTATTTAGTACCGGTCAGACTCGCCGACCAGGGATTTACAGGCGGGCTACCGGTGCTGAAAAAGGGGAACCGGCCCGGTGGTCTAGGACCGATATGGTCCAATTTTTTATTTTTTATTTTTTGAGTTTGGGCCTATGCTAGATGGGTTGGACTCGATGTTTTGGCGGGGTTTGGGGGTGGGGGTAGGAATAAATTAGAAAAGCTAAAAAAATTAAATGAGGCCGACCCGGACCGGTCCTGGTAAAATCCCGGGCCGATACATACCAGCCCTTTGGCCCCAAAATTTGTCCTGGTTTTGACCGGCCCGAGCCATATCCATGCCTAATTCAGACCTTAATTAGGAATGAATCTGCTTACAAATGATACTACGTTAAAAATGATACTACAATAATGAAAACTTCAAATGTTTGACACTCAAGTAATCAAAAATGTCTATAAACAAACATTGTATGCAACTAGTATTATACCCCACTATAACAAAGTATAGTTTTTGCAAAATATTGCAATAGATGCAAAAAAATGTCGCAAAATATGTCAAATGTGCTATTTTAGTATGTTGCATGCGACTGTTGTTACAATAGATGTTATATTGTAATAATTTCTACGATGCTACAAAATGAATGTTACAATAGATACATTTTGTACTAGTGTCCGTTCGATGCATGGGAGAATGAATTTTGCAAAATGCAAATTAAGGAGAAGTATATTAATATAAACTTTTTGCCACACAAATGAAACATGCATACCTCGTCATATAATTTGAGGATGAAAATTCTACTCCGTATAATTTACAAAAATTGTGAATGATATATACAATTCCGGAACTCCTTATACACAACTGGTTAGAATATTTTGAAGAAAATTCACAATTGTTGTGGCATTGAGTAGGAATTAAAACAAAATCAAGGTTTAAATTAAAGGAGCCTTTACGAACGTAACACAGAAGGAAAATCCCGGATGGAATGTAAAAATGATGGGAGGAGATATTAATTACCACAAAGTGATGTGCCGGCAAAGAATAGAAAGAGCAGCAATGGAGCATCCATGGAAAGTAATCAAGATAATCCACAATAACTATAATGACTAATTATCGCACAAATTCTATATTGTTCAGAAACTTCTGATTCTAAGAATTGGAAGTGGAAACAGCCTTATTTAAGAACACATGTATGCAATTGGTTATTCTGAAGCTTGGAAGAAAGCTAAATGATAGATGGAAGAATCTTAATTTGGAAGTATCTTTAATCTCCGAACTGTACTACAGGAATATCTTCCAATTGAGTAATTCTTTCCATTTTTTTGATGTTAATTCTTTCCATTTATAATATTTTTTCTCAAAAAATCGAATGAACTTCTTATTTTTCTCAACATTTCGGAATCAATTGTTGGCGTCCAATATGATTTGGTCTTATCTAAATGTAGTTTGTTTATGTTTGACTTGGTATGATCCAATTTGGTGTGAATATGTTATTTTTCGTGAATATGTTAATTTTCTTCTCAACAAGTCTATGTATATTTACTTTTTTGTATAGACGTATAATTAATTAAAAGGTAACAACAAATGTATCATTGATGTCCAAATAGTTGAATTGGTATATATTCTCTATAACATAATCTCCCCTATTCTCAAATAACTTCTCATTTTGATTGCGATTTTTTTAAAAAAGTAAATTTTTACTTTTTACTTTTTACTTTTTAACTTTCTTAATAAAAAAGTACTCCGTAGAATAGATGTAGGAATGATAAAAAGTGAGTGTAAGGTAGGTGAATAAGGTAAAAGAATAAGGGTAACATTATACTCCGTAATAAATTATGCCAACAATGGAAATGACAACTTTGACCCCATTCGGTAATGCTGAAATTGGCTAAATCAACTTATTCTACTAGAATTTATGAAATTTTATTAATTTTTTATTAATAAAATTAAGAAAAACTTAAATGAAAAATAGTTAAAATGATCATCTACAGTAACTTCAACAATACGACCAAAAAAGTAACTGTAATCTTACTTTTTCTTATTGTTACACAATTCACTGCGTGAAATAAAAAAAATACTTGTTTGGTAAAAAAGGTGGCTAATAAGCCTCGTAAGCCGGGTCACGGGTCACCAAATAGACTCTTTCATTTGAATCTTTCGAAAAAAAGTGAGAACCTATTTAAGAAGAGCGGGGGGAGGGGTATTGTTTTAGTACTCATGTAAAATTGAGTATGGTTTTATTTGGATAGTTTTCACTCAAAGACTATACAATATCGATTTAAACAGATCAAATCAGTTCAGACGAGACTTAATTAAACATATCAGATAAGATTAGATTTCGACAGTTATAAAAATACACATAAATTAGACCAAACTAGATCAAATTTAAACAGACTATTTCATACTACCTCCGTCCCGGTAGACTAGGGGTGAGATTTTGGAACCGGGAACCGTAGAACCGATTAGAACCGAACCGTTAACAACATCTAGGAACCGAACCGTTAACAATTAATGCCTCATTTGTAGGAACCGAACTGAAGCGGGTTATAACGGTTCGGTTCCCAGTTCCTATAAAAAATATGTGTATGGAACCGTTAAGGAACCGTTATTAAAAAAATAATAATAATATTAGTAGTAGTAGTAACAATAACAATAATAATAATAATAATAATAATAATAATAATAATAATAATAATAATAATAATAATAATAATAATAATAATAATAATAATAATAATAATAATAATAATAATAATAATAATAATAATAATAATAATAATAATAATAATAATAATAATAATAATAATAATAATAATAATAATAATAATAATAATAATAATAATAATAATAATAATAATAATAATAATAATAATAATAATAATAATAATAATAATAATAATAATAATAATAATAATAATAATAATAATAATAATAATAATAATAATAATAATAATAATAATAATAATAATAATAATAATAATAATAATAATAATAATAATAATAATAATAATAATAATAATAATAATAATAATAATAATAATAATAATAATAATAATAATAATAATAATAATAATAATAATAATAATAATAATAATAATAATAATAATAATAATAATAATAATAATAATAATAATAATAATAATAATAATAATAATAATAATAATAATAATAATAATAATAATAATAATAATAATAATAATAATAATAATAATAATAATAATAATAATAATAATAATAATAATAATAATAATAATAATAATAATAATAATAATAATAATAATAATAATAATAATAATAATAATAATAATAATAATAATAATAATAATATAGCAATAATAACCACCACCGCAACAACAATAATAAAACAATATAAGATATTTAACTAACAATTCTAATTTAATCAACGGAAAAGAAATAATAAATATTGAACATGAGGTTCATATATACATTAAACTCCTTTCTAAAGTTTTGTTCCATCACATAAATTTTATAAATATAAAATAACCCAAATAACTTGTAGTTGATTGCACATATTTTACTTTACTATTTTCATAATATTTCTAATTATTAGATTTATTATGAATCAAAAGAATGTAATAATGTTTTTTATATCTATACATGAAAACTCATTGTCTTTTTTTTTAATGTTTTGAAAGAGTTGAAGTAGGCGTCCTATTCTTGCTACTATGATGATGAGTAACATTCATCGCTCCGACACTACAACGATTTTTAATGTTTCATCTATTACATGAAAATTTAAATCACTTTTGTTCTATTAAGTGTTCAAAGTTCATTAGTTACGTTTGAGCTTTAATGTTTGAAGTGATTAGAGCTTAAAAAAAAATTAATACTCGTGTTTTGAATTTTCGACGTGTTTAAAATTATGTGTTAATTCTTAGACGAGAAAAAATTATTCTAGGAACCGGTAAAACGAAGAACCGAACCGTTTACTACCGGTTCGGTTCCATAACGGTTCCTAATTTTTTATATAGGAACCAGACCAATTTCATTAGTTAAAACTTTTATAACGGTTCCACTCATTTTGAGTAAGAACCGAACCGGTCCCAGCCCTACGGTAGACTTTGCCAAGTGCAAAGTAGTTGAGAAATAAGAATAGTAAAACTGTGTGGTTGAGATTTGGGTAGAGGAGAGAGAAATGTGCAGAACCACAAATTAGTTGCTTTAATAAGAAAGTGACAAAGTTTTTTGGAACAACCAAAAATAGAAAGTTGACAAAATTCAATGGGACGAAGGGAGTACTATACTAGACCTAAGTACAGAAAGTCATATTTCCCTAAATCTGACTATATATAATGGGATTTTTACACAATTAGACAAAAAAACATAAATAATATCACGTTTTCATTTTTGAATGTCCTTTTCAAAAATAGGTTCAATGAGTTTTTTTTTCACTAATAGACCACGAAATTCAAAAGCCCGCCGGAAGCTAAAGTGGCGGTATGATGCATTTTTCTGTACGGCTCTATCCCAAAAGAGTCGAAAGACCAAATTTGGCCGTATGATGGTTTTTATAAAGCAATATTATTCTAAACTTATACATTGATAAACTAAAATTTAATTATTAAGAAACGAAGAGATAACCCTAGGAGCTCTGGCGTCAAACTTCGCATGAGTACGGCGGTTGCATGGGCCGCTCCGGCTAACAAGCCGGGAGCGGCTTCACGTTCGTTTGCGGAGGTTCTTGCAGCTAATCAGGAGGTGCCGATCAAAGCTCCCTTTCGCCATAAAGGGATGTCTGCAATTCAGTTCTCGGATGACGAGGTTTTAAAACTGGCAGAAAACCACAAGTTCGCCCTAGTTGGATCATTCTCCAAGGGTCGTCCATCAATGGCTACTTTGCGAACTGAGTTTGAGAAGATTGGCTTTCAAGGCTCTTTGTCACTCGGGTTGCTTGACCAGAGACATATATTGCTCAACATTTCATCGGAGGTGGATTTTCAGCGCTGCTGGCTGCGGAATACGTGGAATATTAAGGGATTCAAGATGAGAGTTATGAGATGGACTCCGGATTTTCATCCTGATGTGGAGTCGCCTATTGTTCCAGTCTGGATTAACTTTGATGGACTGCCAATCCATTTGCATGCTAAGAGTGCTCTCTTTTCAATTGCGGGTATGATTGGAAAGCCTCTCAAAATTGATGCAGCCACTGCAAATATGACACGACCATCTACGGCCAAGGTATGCGTTGAGCTTGATCTTCTTCAGGAAATTCCTTCAAAGGTTCTTATCATCCAGGGAAGTAAGGAGCTTATCCAAAAGGTTACGTACGATGATTTGCCTTCTTATTGTGTGAAGTGTAATAGACTAGGGCATGACAAAAGTGAGTGTGGGTCTTCTAGGCTTCGTATTGAAGAAAACAAAGCACGACTTGAAGGGCCAAAGGAGAAGCCTAAGGTCCCAGCCAAAAAAAATCAACAGGCCTCGGACGAGTGGATCGTGGTTAAGCACAAAAATAAGGGCAAGGATAAGGTTGTGGAATCAGTGATGATGGATAAACCTGAATCCTCAAAATCGAAGGTTCAGGTGGAGAAATCAAATTTGGAGAAAACTGATGATGTTCGTCTATTGGAGGTTGGGGAGATTCCATCAGTCCAGGAGCAGTCAGGACTACTGGACATGATCGTGCCTTCGAATAATCAATCAGATGAGCAGGCAGTTTTAGACCAAGGTACTTTGGATGCAGTAGGAGAAGCTGTATTGGAGCCTTTGCATGTAGCTGGGATATCTGAGGGGATGTTGGCTGATAGGGAGGAGACACCGTCTAATCATGCAGGTGAGAAAGCAGTTTCAGATCAAGACTCTAGGGAGGCAGTAGGAGTTACTGCTTTGGAGTCTTTGCATGAGGTGGGGACAACTGAGGGGTATGAGGCTCCGTCGGATTCCAATACGACATTTGTAGCGAACCAGCCTATCCTTGGGATAGTAGACGACATCTCAGTGGTCATGAGGGAGAAATTGGGGTTTGAACAGGATGGTTTTACTTCGGATGGGGATGGTGTGCCTATTGAAAATCTTACAAAGGAGGCTTGGAAGGAGGTCTGTGGAGAGCTAAATAATAAAGTCCAACAAATAACAAATGGTAAAGCAGATGCATTAGGTGTGGTTCCAAGGAAGAAATCAAAGGAAGCTCAGCCTCCTCTTTCAGTTATGACTCGGCAGGCGGCT